GTGAGTAGATACTCATAAGGCTAAGATTTGTCCACGTCGGCCCAATTCTAATCTAAGAGTGAGGAGGTCAGCCCAGCCATGGCTCATTTAAGTGAGCTATTTGTAGGTTTTTTGTACAAGCCGGCCCAACCGATCAAGCTGAACAAGGTAGCTTGGGTCCACCTTTGATTTGGGCGGGATTGAGAGAGGGAGCCGCTGAGATAACTCGTATCCAGCCGAGACAAATAAATATCCAAAAGTGCACGAACTAATATCCGTCTGAATTGACAAAAGAGAGAGAAAAGCATGGCCCAAAATCTGCTACTTTTGTTGCTTTTGATAAATTTTCACATGAGAGAGATCTTGAGTATTTAATGCTACCCACCAATTATTCTCACATGAAAGAGAGAAATCAACTCGGATTAATATTTATATCGTCCACTCTAGTATCCATCCTTAACCAAAATATTATCCATGGGCCGAAGGAAATTAGTTTATGTGGTTGGATATTAGTCTGGGCTGTATGAATATTTATTTTTGCATGAACTGATATTATATGCGATGGATATTAGTTTGTGAATTCATTGTGTCTTCCATCAAAACTAAACACACTATCAAGTCCTAACACATAAGGCTTGCAACCTTAGTTAGGGCTGCCCGCCGAGGGCCCATTGGCCGAAGGCCAATGAATCAATAGTAGTAGGAGAGTGAGTGTCTTCCAGACCTTTATATTAGTTCATTTGTGATTTCAGATATTAGTTTATGTGATTGGATATTAGTTAGGTTGTCAAGGATATTTGTTCGTTAAAGAGTGGATATTATTTCTATTGTGGATGTATGTTAGTCTGGGAGCCACGAATATTTGTTCGATAAAGGACATATATTTGTTTTGGTGTGAATGGGTATTTGTATGGACGATATGGATGTTTGTTTTATGAACTTATATTATATGTGATGGATATTAGTTTGTAACTATTCACATGTGAACCTTGTACTAACTATTCAAATGTCATCTTTGTTTATTTAAGCATCCACCCTAACATACTGGTTCCCCAACTTACCTACCATATTGTTCTTCTCTTCTCAAACAACTTCCATATCTTCAAAGTCGGAGGATGAAGATAACACTGAGGAAACCATCCGGAAATGAAGTTTTCTTTGTCATGGTAGGTCTGATATTAGTCGTTTATGATTTCATATATTAATTTAAGCGGTTGGATATTAGTCAGGGTGTCAATGATATTTGTTCGCCCAAGGATGGATATTATATATAGAATGGATGGATGTTAGTCTGGGCGCCACCGATATTTGCTCGATAAAGGACATATATTTGTTTTGGGGTGAATGGGTATTTGTTAGATAAAGTACGAATATTAGTTTTTGCCCGTTATGTAACAATATATTAGTTTTGCATGATTAGATTTTTGTTCCCTTTATTTGGATATTAGTCTGCATGGTTGTTCCTATTAGACCTTCTGATTAATAAAATTTGTGCTTGCCCAAAAGAGTATACATCCTCCTTTTACATCACAAAGCTAATGTTTATTTTTCACCAAAATAATTTCAAAACCCCTCGACTAATTACAACTACATTCAGTTGACCTACTTAGGGTTTAGAGTTTAGGGTTGGTGGTTTAGAACACAATGTATGGTGGTTCGATATTTTGTCTGTGTAGTCGGATATTAGTTTGCGACGACGGTCAGATATCAGTTTGTGTATTGTGGATATTTGACTGTGATGGCGAGATATTACATTTTTAATGAATGGATATTGGTTTGAGACGATGGGATATTAGTTTGGATGGTGTGGATATTTTTTAGGGTTTAGAGTGAGGGTTGTTTTGGTTTAGGGTTTAGAAGATGATGTTCTGGAAATGGATATGAACACAATGTAGAATGATTTGATATTTGTCTATGGTAATAGGATATTACTATGTGATGGGAGAATATTAGTTTGCGATGTGTGGGTATTTTCCGTGTAGTGAGTATTAGTTCGCGATGATCATATATTGTTTTGTGTGTAGTGGGTATTAGTCTGTGATGGTGAGGATATTAATTATGGACCGACTGGATATTGGTATTAGATTGTGGGATATTAGTCTCGGTGGTGTGGATATTTGTTATGGTGAACCGAGATTAGTGTGGGTGGTTTGAATATTTGTTTTGTGTGGATGTTTATCTATGTTTGTTTGTTTGTTTTGATATTGAGTTTAAACAAAACCATATAAAACAAAGTTGTTTTTGACAAACCGCGATACAACTAGTATTAATGTCATTCCAACTTGGCAATCCCATAATCTAAAATAGTACAAAGTTGTTTTTCGACAAACTCTCGATAATCTTTTTGATCATGTCCCTCCGAGCCCCCCACGTTTCAATCATGCCACGACGAGGTTGGAATGGTCCTTCTCCTAGTCGTGGTCTCTTTGCTGTTGTTTTAGTTCTTGCATTTGTCCAATATCCCTGGAGCATAGGTAAATATCCAGGTATAAATCAACTGATATCTCGGCCACACAAAACTAATATAGAATAATTATAAATCATACATTAATAGTAATATCCAAAAAAAAAATCTACCAATGGCAGACCTAATATCAGGCATAATATTTTCAATATCTGGGCAACACAGAACTAACATCAAAGAAGTACTATCCATATACAAACGAATAAATATCCAGACATAATATAACAGATATCTCAATCGCACAGACCTAATATAAGCGAACTAACATCCACATAGGGCAGAGAAATATCAAGAGAGAGTAAACAAATATGCAGACATCACATAACTAATATCCAAACAATCAATAGAACAATATCCACAGTATAAAAGTAGTATCCAAAGTATGCTAACTGTTATCCATATTAAACGAACTAATATTCCAGATCTACAAATCGAATCCCAGATCCCAACCGCTTAATATCCCAAATCCCCCAAACGAATCCTATATCTCCCAAATCGAATCTCAGATCCCAAACGCATAGAATTCCATATTCCCCAAATTGAATCACAGATCCCAACCCCACAGAATCCCAGATCTCGAATCCATAAAACCATACAGTCGAATCAATGAATCAAGAGGAAAGAAGACATCTACCTCAACAACCTTCTTCTCCTTGTCGTCGTCGTCGTCTTCCTCCCGCTCGGCTGACGCCTTCTTCCTTCAAGCACCGGCGTCTTCTCCTTGCGTCGTCGTCTTCTTCCTCGCGCCGTCGCCTTTTTCCTTGCAATCCTCGTCGCCATCGTCATCTTCATCGCAACCCTCGGCGGAGAGATTTTTTTGTGCGTTATCGGGAGAGGAAAGGGAAATCTTTTGGAGAGGGGAGAGAAATAAAACCAACGTAATGAAGAATGATAGAGGGAGAAGAGGAAACTAAATAAAATGTGAGGTTTTTTTTTGAATTTTTTGGTGTTTGAATTTGGACGGGCCAGGTTTTCTTGACATATTTGGGCCAGCCGAGCCGCAAAAATAGTCTCAGCTCTCACCTGTCGGCGCCAATCATCTCCACACCCTTAGATCGTGGCTTGCCCTCGTGGACCTCCAATCGGCCGTGTGAGTATATACTCACAACTTATGCTGTAAGCAGCATAACTATATTGGTCAAGGGGAGGAGGAAAATTTTTTTGGTTGTTTAAGGTGTTTTTCATTTTTTTATAATTATAATTTATTACTTTTCTGGTTTATTTATTTAAAATGAGGTGGAAATTGAAAATGATTATTTTATATTATTTTTATAACTTTTTAATTGCCATGTCACTTACTTAACAGTCAACTCTTAGAGTTGACCGTCACATAGGATAAAGATAACGGAATTGGAAGGAGAGTGACCAAACTTGAATTATTGAACTAATTTGAGTGTTCACGAATGAAATTAAATATTTCTAGTGATCAAATATGAACATTTTTAGTAAACCCAATGACCAAACTGACAATTTACCCAATTTTTTTCCAAACGTTTACACGTGTTCTATGACAATTACTAGCCAACCTGCATCTGCTTAACATTTGGTTTGATCATGAGGTCAAATGTTTAAAAACTTACAAAACCCTCCAACATTACCCACTGATTTGCAGACGATATGTCCGATCTCTACAAATTTCAAGACCTAAAACAAACAAATCAATACACTAGCAATAGATTAAAAGTTTCATGACCCTCCAACGCACATGTTATAGTGAAACTGTTCAAATTTCAAACCTATAAGGTAAATTCGTAAACTGAAACAAACACATACTATAAAGGGTTAATATTTTCGTATGGCCTGAACTTTGACCAAAATAAACATCTTGGCCAATCTTTTCGATCCATAACATCCTAGGCCGAACTATACACCAAAATAAACAATTTGGCAAAACCCGATGTTTGACCGTTAACTTGGACGGTCAAACGCGTTGACTAACGGTCAATACGCCACGTCACTGCCAAGTCAGAAGATCTTATAAATATTTAATTTTTTTGTTTTTTATTTTTGGTTTAACTAAGGTATTAGATGATTTTTTAAATTTATAATAATTTAAAATTAGGGAATGTGTGGAAATTGTGAATTATTTTAAATATTTTATGTTGACTTGGCAGTGACATGGCGGGTTGACTAACGGTCAACGCGTTTGACCGTCCAAGTTAACGGTCAAAAGTCGGATTTGGCCAAATTGTTTATTTTGGTGTATAGTTCGGGCCAGAATGTTATAGATCGAAAAGATTGGCCAGGATATTTATTTTCGTCAAAGTTCAGGCCGTACGAAAATATTAACCCTACTATAAACTACCAATAGATTGAAAGCTTGGGCAAGAAGCAAGATTCCTCTACTTCGTCCTCTTTTATCCCTTCTTTCTATCAACGGACTGACTGATCACAACACCGCCAAATAAAACAAAGTACAACTAGATTATTATTATTATTATTATTATTATTATTATTATTATTATTATTATTATTATTATTATTATTATTATTATTATTATTATTACTTCCATATCCTATACCAATATATACCTACCACGCGCCTTTCTTTTCTCTTTCACTCCCTACTTTCTTTCCCCAAAACAGAGCCTCTCTGTTTCTTCTCACAGACTACGATCATCACTTCTCTTTCAGTCTCTTACAACGATATCTTGATTTCATCATAACTACGACTACAACCCTTTTTTCTGTCCGAATTTCGTTTTCCTCTTTGAATCTATTTCCGTTGCAGATACAATTAGTCGATGGATCCTCAGAGCAAGAAGACGAAACAAAGAGGCTGGTCTCTCCCACCTAAGAGAGGCCAGATCAAGGCTCAAATCTTCAAGAGAATCGCCAAGACCGTCAGTTCCGCTGCCTCCACTTCCATCGAAATCGTCGGAATGAAAGTGCACGGCGGAGGTGGCGGTGGATCATCATCAAGCTCTGCCGTCGCCTCTGTTTCCACAACCCCGCCGCCGAGCCCAACCACTCAAAAACGCTCCAACGCCTAGTCGATTACGGAATTAGCCCTAATGGGTTCTCAAAGGGACACTAGTCTCCGTTAATTAGTATGTGCTGTGGGGGCCGGCCACCTTGAATCTGTGTTTTATGTGCCTGGTTCAGTGGCTCTAATGGCTTCCTCCTTGCCAATAAAATCGTATTCATGATGCTACTGTCACGTTTTGCTTTTAATGATGTCATGTTTAAACGTAAGCCAAACACCAACATGCCTCTAGCCCTATTTAGTTCTTTTATGGCCTAGTTATCTTAATATGGTACGGTCGGTCGGTAACCCAATATATCAAATACTAAAATATCAAATAATGTTATAAAGTTAATTTCAAAATGAATTAGGTATCTCAATCTCAATTCTTAATACTTTGTTACATATTAGTACGTATATACCAAATATCAAATTAATTCTTTTCAAAATTATCAATCATTCGTGGCAACACTCATGCAAACAAAAATAACAACAATAATACGGGTGGATAATAATACGAGTGGATAATAAGAAAAAATATATATTATTTGTTTGCTAGATGGCCAGTTGACCATGGTATAGACAAATGGGCTTAATTGTGGAATATTCTATTTTTTCCACTATTTCTTCATGTGGTTACTTTTTTAAGCATAGCTTGAGCCAGTAATGTTGTTCTCAATCATATATTTTTTTTCTTCTTCTAGATTTCAGATCGAACATACATTTTAACTGATTACTTATAGATTATAGAGAATCTTACAACTTTGACCTGTGCATCATCTAGCTGGAGAGGGTTTTGTTTTGCGTAACTTCCTTCGCGCGGAAGGTCATAAAAATTCTGAGAAAATGTTGTACAAGCTTCTACATAATTTTTTTACTTTTATGGGTGGTCACTGGTCAAGGCTAAGGATAAATTAGGAGAAATGTGACTAATTACACTTTTGTTTTTTACTTTTTTTTTTTTTTTGGCACATACGCTCAAAATAATGCACGTTGTCGAAATCATGGTAGGGCCCATCCCCTAGCAGGACTGAAACAAAAGACTGTTTCTCTTTCTTCATTCTTAAGTGGCCTGTTGGGCCGACCAGGTGGGCCTAGAAGTTGACACTGGCCCAGAGTTTCTCCAACATCTCTCAATTTCACTGTTTCACTCTCAGTTTAGCTTGCCCCGCAAGTAACTCTCCTCCTCCCTCTACAAAAGACAACTCTGAACTTGAAATCCTCCACTCCATCCCCTTCCCTTCCCTTCCCTTCCAACAAGCTGCTCCCCTGTTTTCCTCAGAAATCAAATCCCCAAATTCGTTCGGTGGAAATGGAACTGTCTTCTAGAAAGCAAGCACGGACGTTGCCACCAAGGAGAGGGCAGATCAAGATGAAGATCATCAAGAGTCTCTTCACTTCGTCGGTGGCGTCGGCGGCGAATACGTCTCCCGGCGACGGAAAGAAGCACAGGGAGGCTAGTGGGCTGAGTAGCAGTAGCTGCTCCTTCTCCTCAACAGCAGCTATTGCTACCCCGCCGGATTCCCCCACAGGGTATTTGCCGGATTCCTGATCCATGCCGGCCGGATTTTCCACTACTTCTCCTTCATCTCGTCGTTTCTTGTACAGTGATATGAATTATTGTTTTTTTTTTTTTGGTAATCTTTTTGTACTGTGACTCTGTTTCAGATTTTCCCCTTCCAACTTTCGGTATGAATTATAAACTTGGTTATGGGAATTATGATTAAAAATAAGCTTCTGTTATCTTGCCATGTAAAATTATGGGGTTAATTTTAATTCAAAGTCTGTTATTCTTCTTTCTCTCCATTCTTGTCTTTTTGGAATGTTGACGCTGTCTCCTCTGAATAGTTTCCTTTCTCATGGTTGCGACGGTAAGAGTTTGATTGAAATGAAGAAATGATAGAGGATTATGAAAAATCCACTCGTTGAAACAAAACTTTTGGAGATATCTCTGTCTCTACGCGTTTTAGGATAGAAATTTCGAGATTGAAGTATTGGATGTAAGATCCGAGACAACAGATGGAACTAGCTCTGTTTTTATGCAAGCCAGACTAAGACGTTTGGATTGAGGTTATCTGAATCTCTCGTAAAAAAAAGAAGAAGGTTATCATTCGATAAATGAGCATCATATATCGATAAATATAATATATAGTCTTTCAAAATTTAGTCTTCGGGATAAATGAACATCATTTTTGAACATATCGTACATGAATTTCTTGATTATGCACAATTCTAACTAGAGTTGGTTATGTGGCACTATTCAGAGTTAAATTTGTTTCGTCATTTGTTAGGTGTGTAACTACAAATATGGATTCCTATAATCTCAATAAACTTAGAAGCTTATGTACCAGAACGACTACAAATATGGATTCCTACTCTGTTAAAGAATAATGGTGGAGGTGGTAAAGTCGCAGGATTGTGTCTAGCAGGTCCTGGGTTCGATCTTTGGCAGTCGCCACATTTGCGTTATTCCCTTGGTAGCCACCGACAGGACTGTAAGCTCGTATCAAATGCTCCCTGTATTGAAACTTGTGTTGCAAGGCGAATTTCTCCTTGTATAAAAAATAATAATGTTCATATACCAGCATAACCAAATTCTGAAGCTCAATGGTCATCTTCCCCTTCCCATCTTACAAAAACTAGGGATGTAGCATGTGGAACCAAATATGTTGTTTTCATGTGCAAATAGGTTTTCAATGAAAATAAATTAAAGTTCAATTTTACCCTCATCTTCATTGTATCTTCGTTGATCTTTGGATATCAAGGAACAAGGGGAGAAGTGCCACATTCTCATCTTCTTACTGCTTATGCTAATTACTCAAAAACCTAGATACAAAAAGTAAAGGCTTCCTTTCAAATCGGTTAGCTTGCTAATATCACGCTAACAGTGAGTAGTAGTACATAATAATTGTAGTCATTATTTTTCATTTATAATTGTTGTTTTTGTATAGTTGTAGAATTACAACTCTTGACACAAACTGTTATAATTCATGATTAGTATGATGCCAACTTCTATACAATTAAAACAATATCTCATCATGATTTGGGATTGATGAAACTAGTGTGGAATCTAAAAAACATGACACTGTCCCACTCCCACCTCCCTAGTAGCAATAATTAACTTTTCCCTTTCATAATCCACCAAAGCCTAATATTCCCTTTTAGGTGCATTCACACTATTGTCACGTTTTGCTTTAATGATCTCATGTTTAAACGTAAGCCAAATGCCAACTTGAACACTGGATCTTAAAGAGCAATCAGCATTTAATACTTTAGGGTTTTGTTCCATTTATTTTTGTCTAATATTTATACTCAATGCATTGTTATATTGCAAGAATCAAATATTTTTCCCGAAAAGATATATTTGATTTACTAATTAAGTAGCCGCATGTCAATCAAGAGTTAAAATCCACTACCATACTCTTCTTATAAAGAAAATGCAATATTTATTCGAGCCAATTTCATGAATATTATAATACTATCAAATAAAACAGTGATAAAGAAGGGTAAATCAGTGGTTAATTTGGGGAATTCGTTTCCACCCCCTCCTATTTTTCGAAGCTTACTTTAAATCTTCTATCGTAGGTTCAGCAAGATGCAGTAATCTTGCTTTGGAAGGCAACTTGTTCTAATTAATTTCAATTCAAAAAGACATTTTCATTTAACAATTTCTAGAACGTATAAAACAGAATCTTATAACTTTTGCTTTGTATTGTGAAAACCAAATCTTAGCTGGACAGGATTTTGCATTAGCACCCTTCGTTCTAGTTCTAGAAGCCATGTGTGTCCAAGCTGAGTTCCCGACTAGTGAGATGATCATTTATAAGATTCTACATGACTTTTACTTTTGGGTTGGTCCATGCTGACGATAAATTGGGGAAAATGCCAGTTCTGTTGTGTTTGTCGTCAACAAATCGTTTCTATTCAATTTATTCAAACATTCATTATTATTATTCAACGAAAAAAACTTCTTTACAATTTATTTGATTCGTTGCCACTTAACTGTCGCAACCACATCGGTACTCGTGTGTAGGAATGATAATGAGTCGGGTTGGATCAAAATTCTTCAAACCTAAATTCAATCTAGTGTGTGTATCTATAATAAGTTTAATAAATTATCCACATGGACATAACCACAAATAATTCCTTTGAAACACTCATTATCAAAATTTTCTCTGCAACTATATTTCCATAAAATTGATAAACTCTATAAATTATTCATATCATTATATTTTCATAAGAATCATAACTTTTATAAACTATCAATATTATTAGAGTTAGATTCAAATGATGTCATTTTACTTTTTGGGCGTGGGTCGGATAAGAAGTGGATCGAGTTTTGAAAAAAAATTCACACCCGACCTAATCCACAATTTAAAAATGAGTGAAACCCATATCCAACCAAAAACTCGTAAACATTGAATTTTACTATTTTCAACCAAATCGGACCCAATTAGACCCATCAATTACCATCCTAGTCGGTCTTCCCGCTTTTTATTTTTTTTATTTTTATCTAGATGGCTGTCACATTTCATCTCCAAACATCATAATTAAGCTCCTTATAGAAAAATAAACATCATAATGAAGCTGTGTTTTTATGTAAAGTTTTTGTCTTCGGCTCACTACTAATTAAGGTTCCTTTGGATATGTTCAAATAATGAATGCACGTTGCCGAAATTCGTCAGTTGCTTGTACCCAGAAAGATGGGCCCACCCCGCACTGGACCCACCATGGTGGGCCTATCCAGCTTTCACACTGGTCCAGAGTTTGTCCAACATCTATCTCCCATTCTCTTGACTATTTTGCTCTCAGTTCAGCTTGCCCAGCAAGCAACCAACTTCACTCAGCTCGCCCCAAATCTGCTTTTCCTCCTCAATGCTCTCTATAAAAGCCAATCAATCCCCCGCTCGCCTTTCCAGTCACTCCCACAGCTCTTCCTGGTAACAAACGATCCACTCTGAACTTGAAATCCTCCATCCCCTTCCCCTGTTTTCTAGATTCATTGATCCCCAAATTCGTATGGCGGAAATGGAATTCGAGTCTTCTTCAAAGCAAGAACGGACGTTGCCACCAAGGAGAGGGCAGATCAAGATGAAGATCATCAAGAGTCTCTTCACTTCGGCGGCGGCTATTGCGTCTCCCGGCGGCGGAAGAAGCACAGGGAAGGTAGTGGGTTGAGTAGCACCATGCTCCCTTCTCTTCCTCCTCTGCAGCTACTGCTACTCCGCCGGATTCCCCCACTGACTATTTGCCGGATTCCTGATCCATTCCGGCCCGGATTTTCTACTACTCTCCTCCATCTGGGTTTCTTGTACAGTGATCATCGGATTGTGGGTTTTATTAGAGGGAGGAAAAAAAAACTTTATTTGTACTTTTGACTCTGTTTGTGATTTGCCACTACGAGCATTCCAGTCTTATTTCTCAAGAAGCTTCTGTCATGTAAAATATTGGGATTTAATTCGAAGTGGTTTATTCGTCTTTCTCTCCAACTTTTCTTGAAATTTTGAGGCACCTGCTCTGTTTTCAGCTAGTAGTTTGCTCTGTCTATGTTCTTAGTTATTACTCTGCCACGGTAGAAGGTTGATTTAGATGAAGAAAGGACGAGACCCATTTGAGGAGTATTGTGAAAGATCCAACACTTCGAATCAGAAATTCTGGAGGTTTCTCTGTTTCTGCGCATTTTCGGATAGAAATTTGGAGATTGAGGGATTAGATTCTAAGATACGAGACTGGAAGACAACATAGTGATGTAGCTTACAACAAGACAATTAGGTTAACGGGGAATTATCAAATTTAGCAGAGGGCACCAAGGCAATGCCATGAGCCGAGGGCTTCGACAAACATTATTGCCCACATAAGTTTGAACAATGGAGATCAAGAGCGAGGAAGTATCATAGTGATGTCAAAAATTATGAAGGCCTCTTCAAAATCCATTCTCTAAACATGAGATGTAGTTCGCGTGGGAGTTGTACTCCCACGACTAAAAAAAAAAAAAACAATTACAATTGCAAAAACAATAACTATAATTATGATTGCATCAAAATTATAATTCTACAACTGACACAAAAAAACTATGGCGTCGTTTGCTTCAAGGATTTGCATCATGGATTTGGTACCAAAAAACCAACCATCATGGATTTACACACAATTCGTTGTTTGCTTTGTCAAAAAATATTTAGATAAATCTATGGGTACCACGAATTTGAGTTTTTTTCCCCTCCAAATTCATGGGCCCCACGGTTTTATAAATCCCACCTCATACCCTGGGATTTGGAGACAAGCTGAAAAACCATCAAATCCATGATAAAAATAGCTCAACAAACAAAGGATTTCCTCAAATCCATAATGCCCAAAATCCCTAATAAATCCCAAGGTTTTTAATTAGCAAATCCATAACAAAACCCTCGTTATAAAATTCTTGAAGCAAACGACCCCTATATGTTTAAAAAACGGGTTAATTGCAAGGTAGGTCACTGGGTTTACGAAAAACGTTCACGTTTGGTCACTAGAAATATTTAATTCCATTCGTGGTCACTAATATTAGTTAAATAGATCAAATTTGGTCACTCTCCGTCCAATTCCGTTAACTTTGTCTGATGTGGCAGTCAACTCTCAAAGTTGACCGTTAACTGAATAACGTGGCAATTAAAAAAATAATAAATAAAATAAAATTTAATCTTTTACCATTTACAAATCATTTTTATAATAAAGTAAAATAAATAAAATACAAAAAAAATTATTGTAATTATCAAATGAAATTTCTCTTACAACAAAAAAAAAATTGAAATTTCTCTACAACCCACGCTCCTTAATTTCTTCTCCAGATTTTCATCGGATCGCTCAATCTCCCATGAGAACCCCGCCGCCGCGCCCGCCACCACCACTACTGTCGACGGTCATGAGTCTAGTAGCAGGCTCCAAAGAAAGATTCATCTGGGGTTCACTCAAACCCGCAACCAGCGAACAATTCGTTACACGCAAAAGGTGTTTGGGTTGTTTTATTAGTAGGGTTGGGAGAGTTGAGGAAATTAATTGGATGCAAAGAAATCGATGTCGGAAAGAGCCAAGTATTGTGCGGCACAACAAGATTTGAAAAGATGCCACCCCCAACCCAACTATGGTGTTCTGTTGCCGTGATGCTTTGTCTGCTAACCTTAGTTCCCTTCTTCTCTGCCGCGACCTCAACAATTAGGACCTCAAAATCTCCGATCGACTCTTCCCTTAACTCACCGCCGTCCTTATCCAGCCTCCGTTGCCCGCTGTTCCTGCAAAACCCAGCCGTAGAATCGGAAATCGCAAAACAAATATGAAAGTGAAATCGAAGTGTTCATTTTCCCGGCAACCAAACAAGAAATCGGAAAGGAGAAATTTATGGGGGAAAGGAAAAGAGGGGGGAGGACTGACTGACAAGAAGGCGTCGAAGTCGCGCTAGGAGGGGGATTCGGAGCCCTGGGAATTGGTGATGAGCGGGAAGATGGAGGAAGAGAGTGAGAAGCAGAAGGCGAGAAGGCGGAGGAGGAAGATGAGCGAGTTGAATCGCCGGAGCTTCTACGCGGATAGAGTGGAGAGGAAGTGAGGGGCGGAGATCCGTGGGTGGGGCGACAACGTCTCGGCGTTGCGCAGCGGCTGCGGTGAGAACATGACGATGACGGCCAGGGATCAGTGGTTGGCTGTGGTAATTATAATAATTTGTTCCTGTTTTATTTATTTTACTTTATTGCGAAAATGAGTTGGAAATTGTAAAAGATTAAATTAAATAATTTTTAATTGCCACGTCATTCAGTTAACGGTCAACTTTGAGAGTTGACTGCCACATCAGACAAAGTTAACGGAATTGGACGGAGAGTGACCAAATTTGATCTATTTAACTAATCTTAGTGACCAAGAATGAAATTAAATATTTCTAGTGACCAAATATGAACGTTTTTTTTTAAACTCAGTGATCAATCTTGTAATTAACCCGTTTAAAAACAATGACTACCATTATGATTATGCTACAACTTATTGTTGACAACATACTAACCAATCTCCATGCAGTTTCCCCTTTCATCCATTTTCTCGTCTCACTATAAAATAAAAAATATTGTCTCACAATTCGCTTACAAAGCCTATATTTTTAGGCAATACTATTAATCATTCACATAATTCACTTTTTTTTACACAAATAACCTATTTTTTCATGACATGACATGTCATCAATCTCATCTAACAATCAATCACTTTTTATATACTTTTTTAGTCAAGCAATGATCAACGTGATAAGAGATTAAGTAATGACATAAATTTCCCCTATTTCTCCATGCTTACTTTAAGCATAAGTAGTGCCAACTGCAAAATGCAGTAATCTTGCTTTGGAAGGCATCTCGTTCTAGATTTCAACTCCAAACACATTTTCGTTAATAACTTCTAGAATATATGTAACAGAATCTTACAACTTTTAACTTGCATTATCATTATCACGCCAATCTTAGTTAGAGAGCCTTTGCTTAACACCATTTGCTCAAAATGCCACAGAAAAGTTCCAGGAAAAATGTGCAGAGACTTTTCAAAAAAAAAAAAAAAAAAAGTGCAGAGACGGATTCCGTGCAATAAGATGATCATCAACGAGGTTCCATGCGATCTGACTTTTAAGGTTAGCCTGGGAAAAGCATACATTCGAAGAGTTGTGAGTTCCATCGTGTTGAGTTCTCGAAATTGTATATTTAATTCATTTAAATTTAGCACAGTATTACTTTGATACCATTTGACATGAGCAAATTCGATCCGTAATAAAGTATGCATCATGTATTTTTTTCTTTGTAGATATCCGAGAAGGGGGTATTCATCATGCATAATTACTAGTTGGTTAAATTTTTATGGATTATATCTCATTCGTTTTAAATTAAAAAATTTAAATATATATTAACTATATTCCACAAAACAATATATTTGAAGAATTGAATACATCTATGTTATGTGAATATGTATGTGCTCCTAAGTCCTATGTGACTCCATCGCCTGATGGATCAATTTTTATCTTCTCTTGGTTTCTATCAATCCAATAATATGGATGGTGTAAGCTTCTTTTTTTTCCTCGTATTATCGAGACAAAAAAATTACACTAGAGTCACCTGGCCGCACGCAATCAGAAAAAAAAAATTATGTTATTTTGTTGGTTTGGTTTAGTAATTAAGATTCCATCAGATATTTTCCTTTTCTTAAACATTTCCATGAGATCTGTCCAAATAATGCACGTGTCGAATTCGTTGGTTGCCTGCAGCTGGATCGAGAAGGTAGGGCCCATCCTCCACCAGGACCCGAACAAAAGCCTATTCTCTTCCTTCCCAGTCTTCAGTGGCCCACTGGACCCACCAGGTGGGCCTGCCGTCGGCATTCACACCTGCCCTGAGTTCCTCCAACATCTTCATTGACTATTTTGCTCCCCGGTTCAGCTTGCCCACTAAGCAACATTACTCACCCGGCCGGCCGGCACCCACCCAAATTCGCTTTCCTCCTCTTTATAAAACCCAAGCAATCCCTTCTCCTTTTGCAGTCACTTCAAGCAAGAAGCAACTCCTCCTCAAAAAAACCCCATCCCCTTCCCTTCTCCAGTTTCAGCTAGCTGCTCCCCTGTTTTACTGATTCAACCACCCAAACGGGAAGTTCGAATTCGCTAGGCGGAAATGGAATTCGGGTCTTCTAGAAAGCAAGAGCGGACGTTCCCACCGAGGAGGGGACAGATCAAGATAAGGATCATCAAGAGTCTCATCAGTTCGGCGGCGTCGATTGCGTCTCCCGGCGGCGGAAAGAAGCAGAGGAGCGGCGGTGAGCTGTGTAGCACCTCCTCCTTCTCCTCCTCCTCCGCAGCTACTGCTACTCCGCCGGATTCCCCCACTGGGTATCTGTCGGATTCCTGATCCATGCCTGCCGGAGATTCCACCACTTCTCCTCCATCTGGGTTTTTCTTGTACAGTGATTCTAATGATTCCTGGGATTTAGCCCCCCTCCTTAAACCTTCTTTGTACTCTGGCCCTGCTCCAGATTTTCCGCTCCGAGCTTTCAGTCTGTATTCTGAACTTGGTTATTGGAATTGAGATTATAAGAAGGATCTGTAATTTTGTCATGTAAAATATGGGGTTAAGTTAATTTGAAGTACGCTGTTCTTCGTTCGCTCCATCTTTTCTGGAAAACTTAGAAGCATCTCCTCTGTTTTCTTAAAACAGCTTCCCCTGCTTATTTGTTGTTTTTACTGCGATGGTAAGAGGTGTGATTGAAATGAAGAAATGTGACGGGACTCCATGTGGCAAGGATTATGAAAAATCCAATCTTCGAGTCAAAACTTCTGGAATAGAAATTTCGAGATTATTGGATAAGATAATAAGAGACGAGACTGGGAGAAGACAGATGAAAGTAGCTCTGTTTTTATGCAAACTCAAGCGAACTAACCCTCTACGTCTCTACACCCAAATCTCATCCAGCCATACTGCACTGTTGAAGGGCGGATTCCGACACCTTACTTTGATTTTCTTCTAGCAGGTCCTCTTTCTTGGCGTCAACCAACTTCAGCTCCTCCCTTCTCTACCTCAAATCTAATCCAGGCGTCAAACAAGGCTAGTCTAGCTGGTGGAAGATCTCAGGCAAGGTGATGAGTTCGATCTCCAACGAGATTGATAATTTTAGAAGTAGCACCTGCCAATGTTAAGATAACCTAATAGTACAAAACACGGGAGAGATCCATGTTTCATAAGTAAGAAACCAAACTTTGTTAGAGAAGACGAAGTCTGAAGCTGAAGCTGTATTGGCAAAAACGACACTAGGAGCTCGCTGCACGACGCCGTTCTCTCCGGAAGCAACTGAAGGGTTGGATAAGAACGATGTCGTTCTGCTTAGTGTTGTTTATTCATTCGTTGATCACTGTACAGAGCACGTGTCTCTTTTCTATTGGTAGTTATATGTTTACTGTTTATTAGCCGTTGTAATTAAACTAGCCTAGACTACTTGTACATAAAGGAGTTGCCTCCTATATATATAGCCTTCGCGGCACAAGAATCCGATGCGGGTTCTTCTCCAATTCTGATCCATTACACAGTTTCACATGGTATCAGAGCCTGGTTACCAAAACTAGGGTTTCTTCATCCGCATTCTTCTTCTTCTTCTTCTTCTTCTTCTTCTTACCTTTGAGTAAACCATGACGACTACATCTACCAATGAGTCGACCAATTTATCTTCTACCACTACAAATTTCGGAGCTATCTCTACCACTGCACCTGCCGTCACCAGACCCTACTATATCAACCCTAATGAATCTCTTGTCTTCCCTATTAAGCTCACTGGAGCGTCGAATTACAATCTATGGAGCAGAACTGTTCGTGTGGCGTTGAAAAGCAAAAACAAGCTGGGTTTCATCACTGGGTCGATTCCAACCCAGACCCAGCTGATGAATCTTACCCGGCCTGGGAACAGAGCAACACCTCAGTCCTCTTCATGATTCTAGGGTCACTCGATCCCACTCTTGTCGATGCCGTCTCCACCATCGAGATAGCACAAGTGCTATGGGAAGATTTGAGACAACGATTCGGCCAAGCTGACAACATCAGAATCTGTGACCTACAAACTGCTATGTATTCCTTGAAGCAAGGTAACAGATCTGTAAACCAGTTTTACTCTGAGTTGAAGGGATATTGAGAGGAGTTAGGTCAATTTCTACCTATACCTCAGTGTGTTTGTGGAGGAGCAGTGGGTGAAGGAGCAATTTGTGTTACTGAAACTACCATTAAGAGGTATAGAGAGAATGAGTTTGTCACCAGATTCATTAAGGGTTTGAATGATTCATATGAAGGGGTAAGAACAAACCTGTTCATGATGAGACCACTTCCTCCTATGGAGACTGCTTTTCATTATGCAGTTTAACATGAGAGGCAACTTGCTAAGCCTAATCCAGAGTCTCAAGTGGACTCAGTTGCACTTCTAGCTGCAAATCAAAGCAAGGGAAAAGAGAACACTAAGGGGAATCTCTTTTGTCGATACTGTAAGAAAGACAATCATGTGATTGCTGACTGTTATAAGTTGAAGAGAAAGAATTCTTCTAAGGAAACAGGAGGATCATCAGGGTTTGCAGGACAAGTTCAAGGTGCTGAAGGGAGTGGCATTCTGCCCATACCTGAAACTAAGAGTGCATCTGAAGCTGGGGATGGATATACCAACATGAGGCTATCAACTGAAGATCTCAGTAGGCTCCAGAGGTTACTGAACCAATTCAGTCCACCACATTCTCCTACCTCTCCTGGGCCATCTGGAACTCAGCAGAGTCAACCTTTGGTGAATTCCATCAGCAGACATGTTTATGTTAACCCAAAATTTTCAGGTAAATTTACCTTGAGTACCAGTTACATTAAGCACCCTATGGAACTTGTCAATGTGTGGTTCCTTGATACTGGAGGCACAGATCATGTTGCGTGCTCATTGAATTCATTTTCTAGCTACAAACCCATACAAAATGTGTTTATAACCCTGTCTAATGGTTCCAAGACCCCTGCTACCCATTCAGGAACTATTGGGATCTCTCCTAAACTCACCTTATTTGAAGCCTTGTTTGTACCAGCCTTTTCATTCAATTTGGTTTCTGTTAGTAGGCTTACCAAAACTCTTCCAATCTCACTCACTTTTAAATCCAACCTATGTGATATCTAGGACCTATTCACCCTGAGGAAGATTGGTTCTGCCCGAGAGATTAGAGGTCTATACCAGATCCATACCTACACAGAAGACATACCAAAACTTGTGAATTCCATCAAGACACCAAACCTTACACCTCAAGACTTTGACTTATGGCATTGGAGGCTTGGCCACCCTTCTTCTTTTCGAACCAAAGAGCTACAGAAGTCTGTTCCTAGTATAGATTTTGAAATAATACGTCACTGTGATGTTTGTCATTATGCTAAACAAAAGCGCCTTCCCTTTTCTTCAAGTCAGTCCATTGCAGAACATGTATTTGACATTATTCATGTTGACATTTGGGGCCCTCTGGCTGTGTCTAGTTACAATGGCTTTCAATACTTCTTAACTATTGTTGATGATAAATCTAGGTGTGTATGGACTTACCTCATGAAACTGAAAAGTGAGGCTAGGCAGCTCTTACAGGACTTTTGCATTATGGTCCAGAACCAATATAATGCAAAGATCAAAACCATTAGGTCAGATCAAGGTGGTGAATTCCATATCCCTTCCTTTTACTCTCCCCATGGGATTACACACCAAATGACCTGTGTTGAGACACCACAATAGAACTCTAGGGTTGAGAGAAAACACCAGCACATTTTGAATGTAGCTAGGTCCCTAAAGTTTCAATCTGGATTACCACTCAAGTTTTGGTCAGATTTCATTCTCCATTCTGTTTACCTCATAAACAGGCTTCCCACTACTACTCTGAAGAACAAAACACCTTATGATGTTTTATATGGCAATCCACCTGATCTTTCCCAACTTAAGGTATTTGGTTGCCTATGCTATGCTTCTACATTAGGCAATCATAGAACTAAATTCCTACCAAGAGCCAAACAGTGTGTTTTCCTTGGTTTCCACCCTGGAATTAAGGGGTTTAAGCTGTTTGACTTGTTAGATCAAAAGGTTTTCTATTCAAGAGATGTTGTTTTCCATGAGAATATCATCCCTTGCCTAGACACTGCCACTACTCAGTCTCAACCCTCCAATCCTACTCAACCTTCCTTTCTCTCCACTTCCACAGATTCCCCACCTGACATCTTTCCACCACACCCTTCCTCCATTCCTCTTGAGACCCCAACATAACCAACTCATGCTTCTCCTGAAAAGGATTTGATTGATACTGAGCCTTTTACTCCACAACCGGCACCCTCTCCCTCTTATTCTCCCTCTTCTGCTGCTCATACACCTTCACCACCTATACATTCAGTACCTCAAACTCCCTCACCTTCCTCCCTACCAATTGCCATTCGAAAAACTCCCAGAGTCCATGTTAAACCTATCAAATACAATGATTATGTCATGCATGTAGAATCACACATTGACAAGTATACATATCCATTGGCTGCTTGTTTGTCATATGATCAGCTATCTCCAGGTTACAGAAACTATGTCTTTGCTGTGGAAACCACTTTTATTCCTACAACCTTTGAAGAAGCAGTGAAGTACAAGGTCTGGAGAGATGCTATGAATGCTGAATTGAAAGCATTGGCAGCAAACAGAACATGGGATGTGGTACCTTGTCCCTCTGGGAAGAGGACAATAGGTAACAAATGGGTTCTCACCATCAAGTTTAACCCTGATGGATCTATTGAGAGGTATAAGGCTAGACTGGTAGACAAAGGATTCACCCAAATTCATGGAATTGACTTCCTTGATACTTATTCCCCAGTTGCTAAACTCAATTCAGTGAAAACCCTTCTTGATGTAGCAGCTGCCAAGGACTGGGAATTACACCAGTTAGATGTAAGCAATGCATTCTTACATGGGGATCTTGAAGAAGAAGTGTATATGGATCTTCCCCCTGGTGTTACTGAACCTGGCCATGTTTGCAGACTCAAAAAATCCTTGTATGGGCTCAAGCAAGCCTCCAGGCAATGGTTTGCCAAACTCACCTCTGCCCTGCTCAGTTTTGGGTATCACCAATCCCACAGTGACTATTCTATGTTCATCAAGTATTCCCAGCAATATGGGATTTCCATTCTTCTTGTCTACGTTGATGACATTATCATTGCTGGTGATAATGTGCAAGGCATGACAGAGCTCAAACAGTTTCTGCATTCTCAGTTCAAGATTCGTGATCTCGGACCTCTTCATTACTTCTTAGGCCTTGAGATCGCTCGATCAAAGGGGGGAATGCATATATGTCAGAAGAAGTATTGCACTGACTTATTGCAAGACACTCGCTATGAAGACTCCAAGCCTGTGATCACTCCCATTGATATGAAAACGAGACTTTCTACAGATGATGGACCTTTACTTGAAGATGGCACTTTGTTCAGGAAAATTCTGGGACGTTTACACTACCTTACTATCACTCGACCTCACCTTTGCTGTTCAACAGTTGTGCCAATACCAAGCTTCTCCTACCACCACACATCTGCAGTTAGTTTATAGAGTCTTGAAGTATTTAAAAAATGCCCCAGGACAGGGATTGTTCTATCCATCTCAATCTGATGGACAATTAAGGGGTTTCAGTGATTCAGATTGGGCATCATGCCCAGACACACGGCGTTCAACAACGGGATATTGTGTGTCATTTGGTAGGTCTTTGATAATCTGTAAATCGAAGAAACATAGCACAGTTTCCAGATCGTCCTTGGAAGCTGAGTACCGAGCTCTAGCTCAGCTTACTTGTGAGATTGTTTGGGTTAGAAGGCTTCTACAAGAACTTCACATTGATCATCCAAGACCTGTGGGAGTCTTCTGCGACAACTGATCTGCAATTTATATTGCAGAGAACCTGGTGTTCCACGAACGAACGAAACACATCGAGGTGGATTGCCATGTGGTACGCCAATTCCTTCAATCAAAGCTCATTAGCCTCAGTCACCTTGAAACTGAGAATCAAGTTGCATATATGTTCACCAAGGGGCTGAGCCAGCATCGACTTCTTCACTTATTATCCAAGCTAAACATCCATGATATGTATGGTTATCTTGAGGGTGCATGTTAGAGAAGACGAAGTCTGATGCTGAAGCTGTATTGGCAAAACGACACTAGGAGCTCGCTGCACGACGCCGTTCTCTCCGGAAGCAACTGAAGGGTTGGATAAGAACGATGCCGTTCTGCTTAGTGTTGTTTATTCATTCGTTGATCACTGTACAGAGCACGTGTCTCTTTTCTATTGGTAGTTATAGGTTTACTGTTTATTAGCCGTTGTAATTAAACTAGCCTAGACTACTTGTACAGGAAGGAGTTGCCTCCTATATATATAGCCTTCGCGGCACAAGAATCCGATGCGGGTTATTCTCCAATTCTGATCCATTACACAGTTTCACAAACTTAGCTGACAAGACGCGTTTTGGAGTGAAACGAAGGACTTCTCCGAAGTTAACACGGGAGAGATCCATGTTTCATAAGTAAGAAATCAAACTTAGCTGACAAGACGCGTTTTGGGGTCAAATGAAGGAGTTCTCCGAAGTTAAACGTGCTCAGTGTGAAGTACCATAAGGATGGACAACCTTATGGGAAGTCGATTTGAATTGCATCCCAAATAAAAAACAGTGATGGTCGATGCCCAAACCGGACAATATTTTTGTCAGGAAAATGTTCGGAATGTTACATTGGCTCCACTTGTAACTTGTAGAATGTAGTTAGTTCTTTGAGATTTTCGGATTCACTACAATTAAAAAACGTATTACACAATCAACAGACTCTCTCTAACTTTAACCTTTATGGAGACGAGTTATAGTGCATCCTACTTCCTACCTTTCAAAATCCAAAGTGTCATGCTAATTAGAGACCCTCAATAATCCCAAAAATTATACATGTGGGATAAAAAAAACTTTATAAATTGATGATGTAATTTTCAATAAGCGAACCCCCCAATTTCTGAGTACGTATACAACACTCTCAGGCATTGATCCCACTCTACCAAATGAGTTTACACTTTACATATTACGTGGAGGTACTCAATTTTAAAATAAAATCCAATAAACAAATTCCTGAGGGATCTAACATTTTTAGTGGTATATTCCCTTAGCCAACCCCATAGATTATAATATGTGCCCACAAATAGTGCAATCAATTGAAACTACACACCCACACACACAAATCTAATAATCTAACCATATTTCTTTGTCATTAACTGACAGGAGAAGACATGGCGTACTGGCATCATTAATCAGAGTCACAATTACATGGGCCCCACCAACAAACACCATTAGTACATAAACATATGATTAGTTAATGATTTTGTCTTAAACGATACAATCGTCATCCCTAATGTCATCAATTCCATTAACTAATGAATTACTAATATATCTGAGTCTGACCTGACTCAGACCCCATATTCTGCTACCCACTCCCTGTCAGCGGTGACCTTCTCAACAAGGCAGAGTACTCTGCTCTCTAAGGTAGGGCTCAACCATTTTTGTCAACAGATTTGACTCGACTCAGGGGACCGATTCATGAACTTGTCAAGCAAGCAACTAACTCAGCAGCTTGACCAAGAAGCAAGGAAGAATTTCTCTATATAAAAGGCAACCAACCTCCCCCAACATTTATTGGTCATCAAAACACCACACAACTAATCACAACTCTTCCCCTGTTTTTTTTCTCTTTAAACTGAAGCAGTCACACTCTGTTTCCATTTCCATTTCTCTCGGCGAAAAATGGAGTTCGGGTCGTCGAGGAAACGAGAGCAGAGTTTCCCTCCAAGGAGAGGGCAGATCAAGATGAGGATCATAAAGAGTCTGATCAATTCAGCAGCTGCTGCTATTGGTACTCCAAGCGGCGGCAAGCTGAAGCGAAGTAAGAGAGATGGCGGCGGCGGCGATGGGTTTAGCAGCAGCAGCAGCAGATGCTCGTCGGCGCCGGCCACTCCGCCGGCAACTCCAACAGGGTACTTGTCGGATGCCTGATTAATTGATGATTCCTGATCTGATGGCTACCGTCGGCTGATCATCTGGGCAATTCTTGTACAGTTATTAGTTATATAGTCCGAGGCTGTTCTGTTGTATATTAAACGGCGAGGAGGAAATTTTGTTGTGAGATAGGTTTCCTTAATTAGTTCGTTTTTTAATTCTAAATTTGTGTCGGGTAAGGTATGAGATCCATCATCCATCCCTGTATTTGCAATGGAAGATTAGGGGATCCAACTCAAAACCATGATGTATGAAAGTAGATTCATTTTGTTTCTAACCGTGTAGAAATGGTTAATTAGATTTCTTGGTTTTTGGTTCAATTCAAGTAATCGTTTCTGTAGTAAATTTATCGTTCTAAGTAAATAATCCTAGAGTTTCACTTCTTCTACAATTATAACATAACTAAGTACAAATACCTAACTGATTAAAGCTAAATTATACTAGTCACTGTACTCTTATGTTGATAGACTGTTCAGAATGATGTTTAAGTCTTGGTGAGTCATAAATCCATGACCCATCCCACACCCCGTACCTTGTAGCAAAAACATCATCATGAGATGCTTAAAGATATAGAGCGGAAACAAGTAGGGGTGGTAATTGGTCGGTTACCGGTTAACCGGTAATCGATTAACCGGTTATCGGTATACCGATTTGTGTCAAATGACCTCCGGCTACCGATATCGGTTTCTTGTCGGTATACCGACTAATCGGTTGCTCGGTTACCGATTAGTAATCCGGTTGCCTGGTTACCGACTCTTGTTCCGCTCCAACTCTGAAATCCCCAATCTCGCAAACCCTTACACGCCGAATGGACCGAACCATTCTTCCACCACCGCCGCTTTTGATCCCACCACTCCCTCCGCCTTCGCTCCCACCACCCCTGACGCCGCCTTCGCACCAACAACTCCTGATGCCGCCTTCGCACTAACAACTCCCGATGCCACCGCTTCCTTCACTCTTCCTTTCTCTATCCCTTCCATCCATCTGCATTCCGATTAATCACCAATCTCGCAAACTCTTACTGCAATCCCGTCACGGGAAAACAAATCAACAATCACAATCACAATCGAGTAGGTGTTGTTGCTGCTCTGTGGTGGGGCTTCGACCAGCCACCAGCGGCGCCGCCCTTCTATGGCCGGCAAATCTGGAATCGAGAGGGATGAAGAAGAAAAGGAAGACCTCCTTTGCATGGCGCTGAATCTGGTGATTCAGTGATCTATTTCGATGATGAAGAAGAGCTTAATTGAGTCTCCCTCACCGCCACCTCAGCACCTCCGTCGGACCCAATTATGCATGCGTATTTTCCCAACCGCGTCATCCTTAAAGAGAAGAGAAGAGAAGAGAAGGAGAGAAGACCTCGGCAACATGGGGAAGTTTGACATTTTTTCTAGTTATGATTTCGATTTGTAACAGGGGAAGAAAAGAAGGAGAGAAGGATGGTGACTGTCTGTGGTGAAGGCGGAGAGAAGGAGATAGGGAAAGGGTTCCCTAATTGCGAGGGGCAGGCAGGGAAAGGGTTTTTATTTTGCAATAAGTGAGGTGGTTTCCGGTATGCGGTTTACCGGCTAACCGTCGGTTAGTAACAGGATAGAATACGGTATACCGGATGCTATGTTTGGATCACCGTATACCGATATCGCCGGTTATCGGCATAACCAATAACCGTCGGTTACCGGTTATACCGATAACCGGTTACCACCCCTAGAAACAAGTATGTGTATAACTGAAATATACATTGCTTGGACAATAAACAAGGCTAGATAATTGTTATTTTCCCGCTTGCATTAGTAACTCTCGAAATGACATTGCACCATTATTTGTGTATTCTTTTGTGTGTTCGTTCCGAGTTCAAAGTTTTTTGACCGACGAAAAATAAATTAATCTCTCTCATATGTCCTTCAACCAAACAATAATTAATATAGACGTGTTGAGAGAAGTTCAAGTATTGAGATAATCTCTTTAGTGTGTTTCATTTCACTTTGTGTTGCATTAATGGAATTGATGACCGCGGAATATAAGATGACGCAGAACACACGATATTTACGTGGTTTCCTCGTTCGATTTGAACGAGACTACTCCACGGTGAGCTCAACCGAGCTCACGGACTACTAATTTATTATAACAAACGGACTGACTTGCTTAGCTTTACATTCACCCGCTAAGCATATTTATATAGGGCCAAGACAGTAACCCTAATACAAACACAAAAAGGTATAAGAATAATAAAGGAATAACAACATTCCTTCTTTGACAAGAACTGGAACTCGCGGGTGTGGACGTCACCACGCGGAAACTTGGACAGCACGTAATACTCCCCCTCAAGCGAAGGTATGGATGTCAAGCATACCGAGCTTGGAAAGAAGATGTTGAAACTGATCCACGCCCAAGCCTTTAGTGAAGATGTCGGCAGGTTTCTCTTGGGTAGCTATTTTGCACGGAGTGACTTCAGCAGACAGAACACGTTCACGTACAAATAAAAATCCATCTCCACATGCTTGGTGCGCTCATGGAAGACCGGGTTTGCAGAAATGTGCAAAGCAGCTTGACTATCACAATACAACGGAGTAGCAGAAGATAGAGGATGACCCAGCTCAGTAAGTAACCAACGGAGCCAAACAAGCTCACTGACTGTGGTGGCCATGGCATGATACTCAGCCTCCGCTGAGGATCGAGCAACAACTGTCTGCTTCTTTGTACGCCAAGAAATGGGGGCGCCACCAAGACGTATGAAATACCCCGTAGTAGACCGACGAGTGAGGGGACAACCTCCCCAATCGGCATCACAGAAGGCCGTGAGAACAAGTGGCATCTCTGCCGGGAAAAACAGACCTCGACCAGGAGACTGCTTAAGATAACGGAGAACACGGGCTGCAGCATCGACATGAGCTTGTGTGGGGGCATGAACATCCTGACTTAAGATGTTGACAGCATACTGAATGTGGGGACGCGTGACTGTGAGGTAGAGAAGGCGTCCAACAAGACGACGATAACTGGAGGGATCAGCTGTAGGAGCAGAAGGTTGACGACCTAACTGATGGTTCTGTTCAATAGGAGTGGAGCAGGGCCTTGTCCCAATGAGACCACTGTCAGAGAGTATGTCGAGTACATACTTTCGCTGGTTGAGCACCACACCTTTCTGCGAACGAGTCACCTCAATACCAAGGAAGTACTTCAGAGTACCTAAGTCCTTGATTGTGAACTGAGAATGAAGGGAATCCTTGACCTGCTGGATGAACTGTGAATCATTACCTACGAGAATGACATCATCGACATAGATCAAGGCAGCTACGAAACTGGAACCAGAACGACGAATAAAAAGGGAGTGGTCAGCACGACTTTGAACAAAACCAAGTTCAAGTAGTGCCCAGGAGAACTTCTGATACTAGTTGCGGGAAGCTTGCTTCAACCCATAGATCGATTTATGTAGACGACAAACGCGAGTGTCACCGGGAGCAGCAAAACCGTGAGTCACTCGCATATAAACCTCTTCATCCAAGTCGCCATGCAAAAATGCATTATTGACGTCCAATTGATGATGAAACCAACCCTGACTGACGGCCAAGGCAATCAAGCAGCGGACTGTGACAAGCTTTGCAACGGGGCCATACGTATCATGATAGTCTATTCCTTCGATCTGCGTAAAGCCCTTAGCAACCAATCGAGCTTTATATCGTTCGATCGAACCATCGGGCTTATATTTTATCTTGTATACCCACTTGCAATCGATGACATGCTTACTAGGAGGTAAAAACACGAGGGACCAAGTTCCAGTTTCTTCGAGAGCGAGTACCTCTCGCTGCATGGCGTCGCGCCAGTGCTGAAACTTGACTGCTTGATGAAATGACCTCGGCTCAAAACCATCTGAAACTGATGCAATGAACGCCTTGTGCTCTGGTGAAAGGCGATCATAAGTAACATAGTTGCTGATTGGATAGAGTGCATGATTTGATTCTGGACGATGACCTGGAAGCTCAACATCATAATCGTTGAGAGTGACTGGACGAGTGACGTGCTGATTGCTGCGTCGTGGAGGAGCAGGTGGGGGTGTCACCACTGTTTTGGCTGGTTGCACAGGCAAAATGTGAGCACCTTCCAAGGGAGGTGGGATGGTGCTTGATAGAGGAGCAGATGTGGACGAGCTTGACGCTCCCCCTGGTGACGAGCTTGAGGGACTTACTTCTACGGCCTCGACGTGTGACGGAGTCGAGGGACTAGGGACTTCGGCCTCGACCAAAGATTAGGACTGATTTTCTTTGGTGGGCAATGAGTCAGCATCCAGTGAGCTGGCTACATCATCAACTAGCTTGAAGAGATCATCATCTGACTGTGATGGATCATCCACGGCGACGGGGAGGGAAGGTGACGGAACATCGGACTATGCAGGCGACGACTGAATCCGCTGGAAAGGGAAAATCTCTTCTAGGAAAAACACATCTCGTGAGGTGTAGATGACTTGTCGACCTATGTCATAGACTCGATACCCTCGCTGATTTGCAGGATACCCGACAAAAATACCAGCCCTCCCTCTAGCATCGAACTTAGTAAGACCAGCACGTGTATCTTTAGCATACACAAGACAACCAAAACTGCGTAGATGATCATAGTCGGGCATTTGACCAAGCAGGATTTCATAAGGAGTACGATTCTGTATGGGAACCAGTGGCATTCGGTTAATCAAATAGGCTGCAGTAAGCACACACTCCCCCCAAAAGTGAATAGGGAGACCAAAATGGAAACGAAGCGCTCGTGTAGTATCCAATAGATGACGGTGCTTGCGCTCCACAACGCCGTTCTGTTGTGGCGTATCGGTACAACTTATTTGGACCACAATTCCTTCGGCTTCATAGTAGTTGCGCAGCTCGGTGACTGTGAACTCGCGACCATTGTCGCATTGGATACGCTTGACTTTTCCATCATACTGCGTCCGTACTTGATTAAGAAATAACAGCAAGTGACGTGCAACTTCGGACTTCTGCTTTAACAAAAACACCCAGACTGCGCGACTAAAATCATCGACAATAGTTAAGAAATAATGTGCTCCACTGAATGAAGCCTGTTGATAACCGCCCCAAATATCGATGTGTATGAGTTCAAAACATGACTTAGTCTTTATCGAACTAACAGAAAACGGCAAACGAGTTTGATTCGCCCGTAAACATGACAAACACGAGTCTTTATTGACTACCAAAGGACTAGAAAAATGACGCTGCAATGCTGAAAGCTTTGCCGACGAGGGATGACCGAGCCTAGCATGCCACAACTGAGAATCTCGAACAGCTTGCTTCGCCGCGAATGCCACTGGATGACCATCATCGAAAACCCGCAAGTAGTAGAGACCATCAACGTGCTTACCCATCCCAATCATTCTCCTGGAGTGTAAGTCCTGGAGCACACAGAAATTCCTCATAAAAATCACGGCAACAGAGTGATCGGCCGTGAGACGACTGAAGGATAAGAGATTGCACTGGAAATCAGGCACATATAAGACACGATTCAACGTTAGACCATTAGACAGCCTTGACACCCCAATTCCGCGGACTGGTATCCCTGTGCCATTTGGGATTTTAACCTGCAAAGTGGAGATTGTCTCCAACTCACCATGCAACAACGACGAACTCTTAGCAATATGTTCGTTACAACCGGAGTCAATAACCCACACTTAGGAGGAATCGGTGAGAATATTACCTGACATGTTCGCTTTTGGTTGTGCAGGTGCGGACTTTGCTTCAGTTGGCTTGGGATCGGAATTGAGAAAGGCCTTGAGTTGAGCTACTTGATCTGCCGATAGACCAGGGATCATGACTTCAGCTCCCTCAACCACGGCTGCCTGTGGAGTCCCTCGCCCTTGGCGTCCACTTTGACGACGAGGTTTTTCATTTTTCTCCCCATAGCGTGCAGGCCAGCCGATAATATCGTAACAAGTAGCACGAAAATGCCCCGTCTTCCCACAATGGGTGCACAGGGGACGACCATCAGGGGTCCTTTCGTCTTGACGTGATTTCTCCCCCTGGCCATGAAAGGCAGCAGCTTCTCCGCGAGGACGGTGATCATGAGTGATACTCATTTGCTGTTCTTCGTTCGCCACCGCATGATAGGCCTCGCCCAAGCTTGGTGCTGGTTTCAGAGAAAGGAGATGAGTACGTACAGCCGAGAAATCATCATCAAGACCAACTAAGAAATCAAGAAGTCGCATGGCTTCATGTGAGTCTCGAGTGCGCTGTTCCACATTGCAAGTACATTGGCCACATGTGCACTTGGCTGGTGGATCCAGCGTAAGCCAATAATCCCAAAGACGTTTCAGTTTGGAATAGAAGGTTGAGACACTCGAGCGATCCTGACGCAGACTAGTGTAGCGGCGAGGAAGACTTCCCGTGCTGAAGCGCTCGCTCAATTCGTCCCAAATTTGTTGGGCAGTGAAGCCCGAACTGAGACTGGTGCGGATTTCCTTTGACATGGCGCTGCGGAGCCAGCCGACAACCAAGGCATTGCAGCGCACCCAGGCATTGAGACGTTCACCATCAACTGGACGTGGAATAGTGCCGAGAACATAACCGAACTTGTTCTTGGCAATAAGTGCATTAGACATCTCAGCTGACCATTCACCATAATTCATATCGGTCAGCAATTCACCAACAAACACTTGACTTGGAGCATCCGAAGCGTGGAGAAACAACGGCGAGGTCGGTCCAATGAGATCATCCTTGGAGAAAGATCCCGTCGCCTCGGGTGCTTCAGTTTTCGGATCAAGATCCTTATCACTCATCGCGACGACAGTGGGCGATGAGGAACAACGAAGACGAGCTGATCAGAGACGTGACAGCTGCTGACGATGAGAGACAGAACACACGAGCAGATCAGAGGCGCAAAACCCAAGCGTCGATCTTGATCGGCTCTGATACCATAATGGAATTGATGACCACAGAATATAAGATGACGCAGAACACACGATATTTACGTGGTTTCCTCGTTCGATTTGAACGAGACTACTCCACGGTGAGCTCAACCGAGCTCACGGGCTACTGATTTATTATAACGAACGGACTGACTTGCTTAGCTTTACATTCACCCGCTAAGCATATTTATATAGGGCCAAGACAGTAACCCTAATACAAAAACAAAAAGGTATAAGAATAATAAAGGAATAACAACATTCCTTCTTTGACAAGAACTGGAACTCGCGGGTGTGGACGTCACCACGCGGAAACTTGGACAGCACGTAATATGCATAAATTTAACAGGATTGTCAATCTCGTAACAAAACAAAACAAACCCTATTATAATTGATTCACCATCTTGTTGACCAACAACACGTTTCACTATTTTTTTTAATTCACATATAAAAATGATATTCCACTTCACAATATCTCTATAAAAGAAATAAAGATGCACTAATTAACACAAATAGAAAACAATAATGGGCATTTTGCACTGACAAATATATAAACGCGGTGGACCTTTTTCTGCAACGAACTTGTAATTAGAAATCAAACGTGGAGGGAGGATTACCTAGGTAAGTAGGTTAGAGTCCCAGGTTCAGCAGCCGGCGGCGGTCAATTTTGAAAAGGCCATGTTGCCGTCTCGGTGCATTGACTGTATCTATCCTATACACGTTATGTTCGACAGAGACAGAAATGGTGCGTGTGATATGAGTCGGGCGACAACTAAAAGTGGATGCTCCCCGCATATTCCACCGGCCGGGAAACGTCTCTGCCCCAATAATGGTGTTTCCGTGGATCTGTCCCCCATAATATGTAGTTAGTTACTCATTCATTGCCACCGGCCGGCCACCATAATTGTTAGTCTTTTAAGAGTATGGTATAACATTTATAATTAATCTTCTCACAATCACTTGATTATTGATTTATAATGTGGTATCAGAGCTGGTTTTGCCAAGTGTTTGTGTCTTCAAATCTCCACGACCCCCAATACAACAGTTTAACTCAAAGTATAGTGAGACTGTGCAAACTTCAAGCCTGTGAGTTGACTTTCGTTTGAGGAGACATATAAGAGTGTGATATAAGATTCATAATTCATTTTCTCCTAATAACTCGAATTATCGAGATGATTTCGCTTATGACAAGTTTTACATTCGCACTTCAAGGATGAACCATCCGGTACACATCGCCATCACTTCAGCGCTAGCTCAGAAGTTTGCTAGTTACAACCAGAGCCGTCCCATGATATTTGGAGGCCCTGTTCGAAAATTTAACATGAGCCCATATTTTTTTTCTCAATAAATTTATTAAAAATAAAATTGATCAAATAATTATAAAGTATATAAGTTCAGAAAATGATTTCAAAATGAATAAACAATCTCACTTCCTGTTTGACCAAGAAACCAAGACCAAATTCTCACTTCTAGCAGGGAGGGAGAAAAGTAAATCTGGAGGAAACAGAAAATGGATATAGAGCAAAAATTGAATGGAGAAATGAAAATAATATAAATTGATCGAGAGGTGGGTGCGGGTCTATCTAATGGATCGTGTAGGCCCTAATCCAAATTGAGACATGATCCAAATTGACTTTTAACTATAATAAAACTAAAATGATTATAATACCATTATTTAAAATGTAATATCTTTCTTTATTGTTTAAATTAAAATTATCTATTATCTCTCTGATTTTCGTATTCTCTATGAGATCTTTTTCAATTGTTATTATAGCTAAAATTATCTATTAAATTCGTCATCATATTCATAATCTATCAATCATACACTAAAAAAACATGCAATAGTCGATCAGTAACTAACGAATCTAAGTGGAGACCCCTAATATTCGGAGGCCCTATGCCGGAAGGCGGGCCGGCACACCCTCTTGGCTGGCCCTGGTTACAACAGAAGTTTGGTAGAAATTGCGTGATAGTTTCATCAGGTTAGCGTTGGTTCAGTGACAACCTCATTACTTCATTAGATATATGTTGTGTTATTTTCATAAATATCGTGTACACATACGAACATATTAACAATCGAGATAGCTTGATTAGCTTGAGGTCGCAGGCTGTTGTTTTATATTATTGTAGTTGTTTTCCTCTCAAAAGGATGGAGTATTACAGCTCGTTACTTATTATTTTAACTGATAGATGCATGCATGTAAATTTTAGCTAGGTTTGGATAGAAATTTGTGCTCACCAATTAAGTTGGATGGTCATCCATAATGTCACCCAAAAGAAGGAAAGAAATTGAACCTACCCAGATTCCAGGTATTAATTTCTGCTGGACTCGTGTCCGTCGCCAATGGACCGGTTGACAGATTGTGGGCTCCACCTGGTTCCACCTACGTCCTACCTGAGTGTCTTGCTTCCGAAGCAAATTTGGGCTTGACTTTTGACTTTTGGGCTCTATTATTGACCCGGCTGAAGCCCACTCCCGCAGGTGAAGAGAAGAGCTTGTCAAGCAAGCAAGCAACCAACTTCCCTATCCCCTCTTCTCAAGCTTTCTAGTTAATCGATGATGGACATTTCTAAAAAAAAAGTGATATATTTGTTGATTTTTATAGTTAGGTACTACTACATAAATTCAAATCTCTAATTTTTAGATTCAAAATTACTGATATTATTATTATTATTATTATTATTAATGAAGGTTATAGAATATAAGTACCATGTTATATAATACACGACACACTCTATAAAATGTTGCCAACAAAATAGTGCAATCAATTGAATCTATTACGTAGACCCACCCACCTTAATAATATATATATATATATCTTTGTCATTAACTGACAGAAGAAGAAGCCATGGCGTATTGGCATCATTATTCAGAGTTACTATCACATGGGCCCCACCAACAAAACAGCATTTCCTCCATTAGTAAACATTTGACAATTAGTTAATGATTCTGTCTTAAACGCCCACATCGTCATCCCTAATGTCATCAGTTCAGTTAATGTGCTGGTTAGAATGAATTAATTTTAGTAATTGGCACTCTCTTCCAGACCAGATCAGTCTGCCCTTCTGACTCAGACCTCTCCTCGTATTCCGCTACCCACTCACTCAGCAGTGTCGTTCACAGCAAGGCACAACGCTCTCTGCTTCAACCTATTTGACTCGACCCGGTGGTGGACCGGTTCATGAACTTGCTAAGCAAGCAATTAGCTCAGCAGCTTGACCAAGAAAGGATCTCTATATAAAGGCAACCAACCTCAGCCCTCCCCACCATTTATTGGTCATCAAAACATCACACAACTAATCACAACTTTTCTTCCCCTGTTTTTTCTCTTCAAACTGAAGCAGTCGCACTCTGTTTCCATTCCCAATTTTCCATTTCTCTCGGCGAAAATGGAATCCGGGTCGTCGAGGAAGCGAGAGCATAGTTTCCCACCAAGGAGAGGGCAGATCAAGATGAGGATCATCAAGACCCTCATCAATTCAGCAGCTGCTGCTATCGGTACTTCAAGCGGCGGCAAGCTGAAGCGAAGTAGGAGGAATGACAGCAGCAGCAGCAGCAGATGCTCGTCGGAGCCGGCCACTCCGCCTGCAACTCCAACTGGGTACTTGTCGGATGCCTGATTAATTAATGATTCCTTATCTGATGGACTGCCGTCGGTTGATCATCTGGGCAATTCTTGTACAGTTATTAGTTATATAGTCTGAGGCTGTTCTGATGTATGTATATTAAACGCGAAGAGGAAATTTTGTTGTGAGATAGGTTTCCATAATTAGTTCGTTTTTTAATGCTAAATATGTGTCGGGTAAGGTATGAGATCCATCCCTGTATTTGCAATGGAAGATTAGACATCCAAATTAAAACCATGATGTATGAAAGTAGATTCATTTTGTTTCTAACGGGTTCAAATGGTTAATTAGATTTCTTTGTTCAAATCAAGTAATCTAGTACGATAACTAAGTACATATACCTAACCAGTTAATGCTAAATTACAGTAGTCATTGTACTCTTATGTTGATAGACTGATAACAATGTTCGTAAATCTTGATGAGTCGTAAACCGATCCTAGAGCCGGTACATCGTACCACATTACATACAAGGCGTGAAATCACATATAACGGAAACAAGTATGTGTATAAGTGAAATATACATTGCCTGGACAATAAACAAGGCCAGAACATTGTTGTTTTCTCGCTTGCATTAGTATCTCTCGAAATGACATTGCTCCATTATTTGAGTATTTTTTCTTGCCTTTTGAAGTTCGTTCCGAATTTAAAATTGTTTGACCGTCGAAAATTAACGAATCACTCTCATTTGTCCCGCATCAAAATAATAATTAATATATATTCGTATTGAGAGAAGTTCAAATATTGAGATCTATCTCTTCGATATGTTTCATTTCACTTTGTTACATAAACACAATAGAATTGTCCATCTCGTGGGAAAATATACCCTCAAATCAATGTTCATCATCTTGCTGACAAGCGTGCTTCACTATTTTTTTTTTAATTGACTTAAAAAATAATATTTCACTCGGCAAAATCTCTTTAAAATAATATAGATGCACTAATTAACACTAATAGACAAATAATAATGGGCGTTTTGCTCTGACAAATACATAAACGACAGTGGACCATTTTTGCGACAAACTTCTGATTAAAAATCAAACGTGGCAGGGGGATTAACTAGGATAGTCCCAGGTTCAGCAGCCGGCGGCGACCACTTTTTGAAAAGGTCACGTTGCCGTCTCGGTGCATTGTAACCATCCGATACATGTTCGACAGAGACAGCAATGTTACGACTTGCGTGTGATACGAGTCAGGCAGGCGACAACAACAAATACATGCATATTCCACCGGCCGGAGAACGTCTCTGCCCCAAATAATTGCGTCTCAGTGGACCTGTCCCCCGTAGGATGGCAAAAATATCCATAACCGTGGATATCCGCACGAATCCGACCTAATCGGGTAGGATAAAACTCGAATTCGAATGACCTCTAATGGGTACGGGTAAAACAATAACCCGAATATTGCGGGTAATGGATGGACATGATTTTCTCACTATACAACCCAAACCCGCCCGATTATACACATGCATATGTATTTTTTCTACAAATAATCATTATTTTTCTCTAACATATTTTGTATCAAGCATATAAATATATTATTTTCATGAAATTGTGTTGTTTTCATTAATTTTCTTCATTCTAATAAATCATTATCATACTTTCTCTTATGTAATGTGATAATACGTGTGGATGTTAACATATTGGTTAAAGTTATAAAGAGAAATTATTACACATGGATACCCGTGGATACCCAAAACCCGAACAGGTATGTGCATGGTTTTGATTTTCTACCCGTTTCTTATGTGGGTATGGATATGGGTAAAACCCGAACTAGTTTGGGTAGGGTAACGGATATGCACTATCCGCCCCCGACCCGACCCATTTTCATCCCTACCCCCACGACAGTTAGTTATTAATTCATTCATTACCACCGGCTGGCCAACATAATTGTAGGGATGTCAGTCGGTCGGTTTCAGTTTAACTAAAAACCGATTTCTCGGTTATCGATTAAGCCGAGCAACCACCTCCTATTGCCGACCACCGACCGTGAGAGACACCACGGCTAGCCGACCACCGACTGGTCGGTTATCAATTTTGGTTCGATTAGCCGCATACCCATAGCATTCCCTTCTCTAAAAAAATCATTAAAAAAAAAAACGGAAATTCCCTACCACTAAATCCTTATATTCTTCCTCCTTCTCTCTCCTTCCTTCCTCCAAAAAGACCCACCAGAGACCAGACCACTTCTTCCTTCTCTCTCCTTTCTCCATTTCAATCCCACCACACCCGACCACTCCTTCCTTCTCTCTCCTTCCTTCATTTCATGTTTAGACACGACGGCGGCCGGTCGCGGAGGAGAAGCAGAGGCACAACAATGGCCACGGAGGAGAGCGAAGGGAGATATCCCCAACACAGGAAAGGCGAAAATGGGGAGGAAAGGGATGGCGATGGGAGACGCGCGGAGGCCTGGGGTCGTCGGGGATGCGAGATGGCAATGTCGGAGTGGAATCAGCGAGGAGAAATGCCGCTATCTCTGGCTCTGGCTCACGGTGCCTGGTCGTTGGGGAGGGCGGGGAGGGTGGCTGGGGTTTGGATGGCGGAGGGCGAAGGTAATGCAGAGAATCGAAGGGTTTGGATGGCTGGCTGCCGGCTGGGCTGCGCTTTTGAGGAGTACGAAGAAGAAAGAATTAGGGTTGGGTTTGGCCGAAGGAAGGGGTCGTTTTCAGTGATGGTGAACGACAACGTTTAATTCAAAGGATGGCTGGTCGATTATGCTCGGTTAGTCGGGTAACCGCGGTTAATCATCCTCGGTTACTCGACTAGCCGATAACCACCTTTATTCCACCGAACACCGACCGAGGTAAATAATCGTCGGTTTTCGGTTAGCTACTAACCGGCAGTTATCGGTTGAACTAGCCGGTTAGCCGCTAACTAGAAACCGAACTGCCACCCCTACATAATTGGCAGTTGTACTTTACACCGGCCGGTATTTGGGATGTCATAAACTAATTGGTTCCAATAATCCGAGTTGGGAGAGATCTATATATGTTATTTAACATTTTAACTAATTCATTACATTGGGCAGGCATCTCATAAACTTTTGGCAAACCCCTCAACCTTCTGATCTCCATCACTTCAGGTCTAGCTCAAGAGTTTGCTAGTTATTGCAGAAATTTGGAAGCAGTTACGTTGGGTGATAGTTTGATCAAGTTAGTGCTCACTGCTCAATCATTGACAACCTCATAAGATTAGAGCAAGCTGTCGAATTATCTCAAGTATATGTATCGCTAGATAAATGTTATTTTATTTTCATTAACAGTTGTGTACGCATACGTATCTAACAATTGAGATAGTTTGATTAGTTTGAGGTCGTTTACCGACTATTTTATATTATTATAGTTGTCTTCGTCTCAAAATGATTTTTTTTAAAAGGTGCAAGCACCATTACCTCAGATTACTAAATCGAACAGACAACAAATCCGTCAACCAAATTGTACAAGAGACAACGATCAATGTCGGGATCGGAAAAGCAAGTACTAATAGAGCCAGGATCTACCGGGTGACCCTTATGAGCTAAACAATCGGCTAGGAAGTTCGCCTCTTTGTAAATATGCTGCACTCTCACTTCCCAGTCCCTGCTCTGTAGTTCCCGAAAAGCAAGAACCAGATTGGCATGCTGGTGATTAGTTGGACACGTGGGTGAAAGAAGGTGATCAGCTGTCGTCGAGTGGAGCTGAACCTCGACTTTTTTGTATCCTGCATCCCATGCAGCCTTGAGTCGCTGTAGTGCGCCCCGTAGCTCCGCACGAGTGATCGTACATTTCTCCAGATTCATTGAGAAAGCACCTAACAAGCGACCCTACCCGTCAAGAAGCGCACCTCCCACAACGGTTGACCCCGATGGTCGTAGTAACGAGCCATCGGCGATGGAGTATCACAGCTGGTTGCTTATTAATTTAACTGATAGATGCATGCAGGTAAATTTTTAGGTAGGTTTTGGTAGGAATTTGTGTTCACCAATTAAGTTGGATCTTCATCCTTAATGTCACCCGAAAGAAGGAAAGAAATTGAGACTACCCAGATTCCAGGTATTTCTGCTGGATCCGTGTCCGTCAACAATGGATCTGATTACAACACCTGGTCCCCACCTGGTCCCACCTACATGAGTGTCTTGCGTCCAAAGCAAATTTGGGCTTGACTTTTGACTTTTGGCTCTATTATTGACCCAGCCCCCACTCCGGCACTCCCGCAAGTGAAGACTGAAGAGAAGAGCTTGTCAAGCAAGCAACCAAACAACTCCCTGTCTCCCTCTCAAGCTTTCTACGTGGACATTTATTTATGGTTATATATTTAGATTTATGTTATGAAACTATATAAACAACTACAAGAGAAGATTAGAGAGGGAAAGACACAAAGAAGATAGGGGCAAGTGAGCTTTCTTATTCATCATTCTCTTTTGATACAATGATGTGCTTTATTTATAGGCACACCTTGGTAACCACTACATTCTTATATTAATGAGAGATAATGAAACATAAAGAAGCTATCAAATGTAGGAATAGGGTTACATGTAACTCCCAAGTGAGCATCTAATGTGGTAATGGCAATGGTCATCCATATATCAATATTTACATAATAATTTAAGATTAGTGATATTATGATTCATATCTCATCTTGCTTAATCATAATTCATTACTTACACATATACTTGACCTGGCCATAATTGGCTCAACATAGGTAAATAAGGAGTCGTATAATTGCACTTCCTCGGGATAAACCCTCGTGCAAGTCATCCTCCTTAAACATCATAGTATCACCGTGGGAAGTTTATTTCCCCCACTTGGGAATCCAAATACAACCACAATATCACATCATGTCAAAACACCTGATCGAACAACCATGAAGTCATATCAACGGTTAAGCCACAAATGGCAACATGTATGCAATCATCAACATAAACAAGGTCCATATCGGCTAGGGCAAGTCAATAATATCATACAACAATCCATGGTTCATCATATAGCATAAAAGTCCATACACCCCTAATCATGCCATTCTAATTCACTTAGGTCAATTCTAAGCATCAATATAATTATCGTAATACGACAAACCCGATATGCCGTGCTAATCCCTCACCAGTTTTGGTCGTTCAAACACCGGTTCTAGCCTCCCGTACTAAAACGTCAATTTCACAAACGAACCCCGAATTAAAATCCGAGACCGTCCTAATATCCCTTGCAGTATCCCCGTCAATATTAGTTCTAGGCTCCCGATCAAATTCTCGATAGAAACACATCAAACCCTGGCCAGAGCTAAATTCAGCGGTTTGGACCCCGGCCTAAATAATAGCGGAAATTCATAGGTTAAAACTAGAAAATTCATTACCTCACCGCGGATAACTTGAATATGGGATTTGGACTTAATCCGGCTTCTGAATCCTCCAAAAACATAATTCATACGATCGACAACTTGAGAAATTGTCAAAGCAGAATTTTACTACAAGCTCGAAAGTGGATGCGCTAAGTTATGCTGAAGGATTACGTACCAACTAGGAGATTTTTGGATCGCCCAAACCCTAGAATCAGCTCTGCTATTTTCTCCTGATCCTCCCCTGTATTTGCTATGTTTCGCTTCTGGTCTCTGGACGTGGAAATGGAAAAGGGACGGAATAAATGGGACGGAAGTGGACATGGAATGGGGGAAGAGAGACACGTACCTGTATAGGAAAGTGATCATTCCACCTCATCCTTCCGTCCTATCTTTTCATTTCTAATTTACTTTTGGTTTGGTTCAACAGCACACACGTGTAGTAATATTAGTATAGGTATATTTATATATAGTAATTGGTACTTATCCGATCGATCGATAATTCACTTTTCATTGAAATACTATCCAAACACTAGATTTAAATCGTATAATTTTCTAGCGATCGAAATATGGGTTTAGCCGAAATGGGATGTTACAAATTCTCAAAGAATTTTTTCCACATCAAGATCCGGGATGGTCTAACCGGACCAACCAAATTATCAAGTTATCAAATCTTGTAAACTTTTGGTTTACACTTTTATGTTTACTGATAGTACTAATATACATGTAGTACATATTTGTGATGCAAATATTAGTTTTACTATTTTCTTGATAAGATACTCATTTTACGAATATCCTTTTAATTGGGTAATGCATCATCACTAGGCAGTTTGGGTCCTTCAGACCACAAAACATTAGCTCTTTTAGAACTTTACCATATTTTGTACCATATTTCTCCCTTCCGGAGACTTATGATTTGATGCATTCTTAGTAAACACATATTCATAGTGAATATCATCACAAATTATTATCACGAGTACATAATTTAGTTACTTCAAGTAACCAAACATAAGCTCTTCGGAAGCTTTTTCTCATTTATGTACTCTACCATATAGTTTATATGGAATTTTTCTAACAATCATACTTTAAAAAAACATACTAAAATAATAAATGAGAATATTTCAAACTTAAGACAAAAATGATGAACTTATCAAGTTAATCGTTCTAGATCAAAGTTATCACGTTAAATTATGTATGAAAAATAACGTCACAATAAAACATAAAAGAAATAAAAATTATAATACTACAATGTGAAAATTAAATAAGATTTATTTGGAACAATACCATCACTAACTAGATGATTTTAAATTTATATATGCATTTCAACATTGATAAAAATAAAGATATATGTCTTCATTATACATTTCAATGTCCAATAGGTACATTATGTTATCTTGACTTTGATAATATAATTATTGTGTCATACATATTTATAATTCTCCTTTTTCTTCTCTTTTCTCACTTCTGGTAAAAATATCTAAACAATACATTTAACATATATATAATTATATTTATAGTTCCATTTACTTTGGGGAATAGATTATTTCATTCACTTCTGGGAATGAAAATGTCTCAAGTGCAATATCATGTCCATCTATAATGGAGAATATACCAACTTATATTACAAAAAATATATTCAATAATATTGATATTGCATAAGCAATCTCTTCTCTTTGATTCTTGGTAAAATAAAGTCTTTTGCGTACAACGGGTACGAGATAAATGCACTTTTCCATTACAATGGTAACATACAAAACTAATATTCTTATTACAATGTCCACTTCTTTCTTTGCCCTTGGATTCTTCAATTTCCACTTCTGAGGAATATATGGGCTCTTGGAACTTGCATTTTCTACATATCAATGTATGATTGATAAGAATAGGATAACACGGAGAACTGAGAAATTAACTCATCACTTATATTACTTTTCTTGTTAATCCAAATAGATCGACGTGATAAAATATCAATGGATACGAGAAAAGAGTAGCACACACCTTGATATATTGGAATGAGATAATCTCAACACAAATAAGACAATAAGATAAGAAAGGATATAAGATTTACATACCTTGATAATATTGTGATCTTACTCCAATATCTTAGATATTGTGATCTTAGCAATGATAATTTTGGCAGAGCTTCGTGCTGATAACGTGTTATGAAACTAATGTAATATAAACAACTACAAGAGAAGATTAGAGAGGGAAAGACACAAAGAAGATAGGGGCAAGTGAGCTTTATTATTCATCCTTCTCTTTTGATACAATGATGTGCTTTATTTATAGGCACACCTTGGTAACCACTACATTCTTATATTAATGAGAGATAATGAAACATAAAGAAGCTATCAAATGTAGGAATAAGGTTACATGTAACTCCCAAGTGAGCATCTAATGTGGTAATGGCAATGGTCATCCATATATCAATATTTACATAATAATTTAAGATTAGTGATATTATTATTAGTGAACGGCTATTTGCCGCTAACTAAAAAAAAATCAAAATTTGAATTTTCTCGTTATCATTCTATAAATTTGACGTAACAGAACTTCCATTAACATTTCTGATAAAAACGTCGGTCGCAGAGCCCAGTGCCTCTGTCGCCGGCACTGTTGTTCCATCGCCGGCCAACTTTTCATCGTCGCAGACCA